TTGAACGTCATCATGCTGAACAGGTAAACAAATCTATTCACTAGTCCGCTTTTACAGCCTCAATGTGTTGTATAATTGGCTCTTGCAAACTAGGGGGGACCGGGGGCAATTGTAAAAAATGTTACATTTTCCTTCATAACTCACAGACTACTTGAAATACACTAGTCAAAAAAACAAATATAGGTGCACTAATTAATAATAACACGAAACGGACCGAGGGGCCCCGCTTCCTACCTCGCACCAGGCCCCGCGTTAGCTAAGGACGGCCCTGACTGGAGTATTCTTATTTTGGGAAACTTTTACTTTTACTTCACTACATTCTAAATCATAATGCTTTTTACTCCTCTACATTTCATCAAAACATGTCGTTCCTTGTTATTTTGAACTACATAAATCGAAAAATTAGCCTGATAAATTGGCTCACAAACCAAGCAGATTTCAGCTGTTCTCGAATCCACAACTCAGTGATTCAAATGATCCGGTCAGAGTCTCCAGTTAAACAATTCAGTGAATTCACAAGTCTGACTCCAAATGAGCCAAGAATGGGTGGTCCTCGGAGCTTGAGTGCACGCACGACTGATGGCGTTAAAAGAAAGTTACTAATGCCGAATTTTAGCATTTATTATTGTAAATGAAAATCATATTTAGATCATGATTGTCCATTGTTTGTGAACTAAAGCTGCTGTAAAAGGGCTGTTTAAGCCCACAATATGAAATGCTTGAATGTATACATGTCCATATTTGAGTATTACCATCAGAACGGTGTAGTATTTAAAAACTAAACAACGTTAAAATAACAAATTAATGCCCATGCATCTCCCCGTAGCACTTCAAATGATGTAAAATTAGTATGCTTGCATAACATTTTTCTTAAAATGTTAACACATTTTGCTGTGTAATGCAATGTGACCCCTTTTATGTTGTATATTTATATTTGGCAACACATTTTCTTTTTCCACATTTATATTTACTATACGATATATTTTGTTATTTCACTTGTTTGCACACTTGAATTATCAGTAGCTTATAGTAATGACATATTTTTAGCAGGAGGATAGAGTAAACAAAATTGCAAAATAAATAAACATTCATCAATCAGTACTTTTTATTTTTACCCAAGTACTTGATTTGTGTACTTTGTGTATTTGATTTGTGTACTTTGTATTTTTTACTCAAATACATTAATCAGCTGATGATTCAAGAACAGTCTTTAACCAAACTTTCATGAAATGGTACAAGATAGACATATTAACAGAATAGCTCTGTTATGAATGAGATCATGTGGAGATAATATTAATTTTGTAAAATGTAGTTTTACATTTTAATATGTTCATTTTGTAACAGAAAAGCATGTCAACACAGACAAACAAGGTGTTTACACTGGGCCATGTGGCTCGGGGGCAATTGTAACGCAATGTTACAATGACCCCGATGTTGCTGCCATGATAAAATCTCATATGCTAGCTAGCCACGCCTATATTAGCATAGGTTGCTCATGTTACTATTTTATCAATAACCTAGAGGTATAATGTATGTCAATTTAAAATCACAGTCATCGAAACTTTAGACAGCAGAAGAAAAATACTGTACATCCAAAAAGTGACTTTCTTACCTCAAAATCAGTATTTGTTAAAAACATCTGCTGAGGTGAAATGATTGTGCTCCTTTTTCACAGGCAGAGAGAATCCTACTGAGCATGTGCAGATTAAGTCTCATCACTCTAGCTTGTTTCTGACTGGATTGCTCCCTGTTACAATTGCCTCTTGTTGTCATTGTCATGTGACCTACCAGCGTCAGTTGCATCACTTCGCTGCCATTCACAAATCCTCTTCTATGGCCTCGTGGGAGTCCATTGGATACGCACTTTAGATTCTCGAAATAGTAGGTCATCCGGGGACTTTTTGCCTACTATTTTATTTACTATTTTATTTTACTGTAAATTCATGCTACATGCTAGTCTGTTCACATACTGTTTTTCACCTACTATACAGTCCAGTAACTTGCAAACAAACTCAAATTTTACCGGATCTTCTTCATCCTTTTGGTGGATCTTTATACTGACACCTATTGGTGTGGATGCATGAAATTTGTTTATTAATTTTTGTCAATAAAGCTGTTTGTGTTGTCAGTGTTTTTCTGTGAAAATACTAATTTGACTAATATTTTATAGTAAAAAAAAAATAGTGCAGTTATTTTTTATGTATTATTATTGTGTTAGTGTGATATGTGGTTAGAGCTTGATTCTGAACTTCTTGTTTCACTTAAGATGTGTATTGCTGCTGTTTGTATTTTGTGTCCATTGGTTTGGACAGGAGTGCTGTTGATGCAAATTCAAACTGTAATGCAGATTGATGTCAGCTCTTTTGAACAGGCACACAGGTGACATTTTATGGTGACACTTCTCTGAAAGGTATGTACAGTAAGGACGCCTAAGACTAAATATCTGTGAAGGAGTGGATGGACACGCACACACAAATGAGGCCGCTCAGCCAGCTTTTAGGCTATATATATATATAAATATATAAAAGTGAACGTGACACTCTAGTGCAGTGGTTCTCAGGTTTGAGAACCACTGCTCTAGAGAATCCTCTCTTTCAGTCATGTCCTTCCCTTGAGCTAAACGCAGGCAATAATGCGTTGCTTTATTTCTAATTACTCTATTCCTGTGTGTGCGTCTCCTGAAGGCTTGCGTGTTTGGCTGTCTACCTAGACAGTATTTTTAAGGCCTTTTTAGATACTTCATTCTGGCCAAATTCAAAGGCAGAGATTCCAGAGAAGGTGATGCCAGATTCCTGAGAAAGGTCTGGCTGCAGCCTTGCGCTTGCACTCTCAGACGTGCATTCTCAGGCTTGCACTCTCAGACACTTGCACTTCCGCTAGCGACGTCACTTGCAGTCTTTATTCTATATACATATTTATTATATTAATAAACTGTATATTGAATATTGAACATGAATCCATGTTAAGTGTTTATGTTTTTCTACAGGAGGAAAACGCTTAACAAGAGACTTTGCGCATTGCGTTCATATTCTGCTTTTCTGTGGCCACGGATTTGCGGGTGGCGTTGCAGGTATCGGAGAGTGCAAGTGGTGATTGCAAGTGACTTCATAATTTAGTTTCTTTTTTCTTGTCTTCACCACCTGGCTACTGTTGTAAAATGTTGAGAGATTCAAACAAAAAGTAATCAATAAATAGAACAAAATAAAAAATAATAAAGACTGCAAGTGACGTCGCTAGCGGAAGTGCAAGTGTCTGAGAGTGCAAGCCTGAGAATGCACGTCTGAGAGTGCAAGCTCCAGCTGCAGCCAGACCCTTTTGAGATTCCTGGGAAATACCAACTGCAAAAATATTTAATTAAATAAGGTTAAAAATAAATTAATCTAATTTGTGTATTTCTGTATGTGTTATGCTTATACTGACTATTGCTTCATTAGCTTAGCAAAATACTAACGTCAAGGAATGTGTGTGTCACATTCAAGCGGCAACCTCCCGCTCTCTCTCCTGAAGCCAACACGGAAGTGACTTAAACTGTAATTCGTCAACTGGCCGCTAGAGGCTGGCTGCAAAAGGGAGTCGTTCCCATAGACTCCCCATATTAAAATGCCCAACTTTACAGCAGAAAAAAACATGTTTACAGCCTGGTTCAAGGAGCTTCAGTGTAAATATTGTGTCAATATCAAATCAATTTGAGCGCAATTTAAACCCGGATGATTGTAACCACTCTAAGTTCGTCTGCCTTGGGAAAGCTAGGGTGTCTCAGACATAGTGACAACACTCGTTGCCTTCTCTAGTGCAGCTCAACCAGGTCTCGTCCCATTCGTCGATATTTGTGATACAGTCTATGGTGATATCACAAATCCCGGAAATTATGCGTTGTAGTCCGAACGAGTCGTTCGTTGTAGTTTTTGAAAAGTGATTTCTGTTAAATAAAATATCTCCTTTTGAAGTGGACTTTGAGCTTTGTAACTTTGCAGATATTTTTTTATGCTCAAACAGCAACATTACAGACTAACTAAAGTTGAAAAAGTGAAAAAGCATAACAGGACCCCTTTAAAAGGCAGCTGACTATGTAGGTGCCCCTTAAGGGATCTCACTGGCGGTGATTACCAGGTGGTGTACAGCCATCCTCTTGGATACACATTATGCACTTCCCATAGTTGTTGACTGGAATATGACTTAATTACAGGATAAATGTCTGTTTTTCGTGTAATAATATGCGTGTATAAAGTGTGGTGTATCAAATCCCTCTCTAGTCTTATGGGTCTTGATGACCCTCACTTTGACCCTCATCTGTCACACCAAATCCATCCACATGAGCACATAATTGCGATGCACACAAAGCCAAAAGGCACAGCATTATGAATATATCATATATTAGATATGAATCATGCATACAAAGTTACAAATAAACATGAAAATAATATGCTGCAGTCAAAACTGCTAACAGTATGCACATAGATCTGTTTTACACATTCATAGAATATATATTTTATTTTACCAAAAAAGTTTTTTCCACACACACGCACACACAATTATATATATTTATATTTATATTCATAATATACTATATATTTAATAGATTTTTTTGTCTTTTCTGGTGAGGTTTTTTAGGTATATGTATTGCTCCCCTGGAATGAATGCCTTTCACTTCTGTATTCTGTCTCTTTCTTTTTCTGTTTTTTGACTTCCAGTCTCAAAAGCAGTTCATTATAATTATTATCCCATCATAACAATATTAAGACTGTTAATATGATAAATAAATCAAATATATTTATATGAAGACTTAACTACTTGTACACTTACGGTTACAATGAAAAATTCCACAGATCTAGATATTAACAATCTTTGTAAAAACTACAAAATGTCATAATAATAATAATAATAATAGTCGTCACACTCCCGCAGAATTAACACATGCTTGACACTGAATGACATCGTGAAATATAGTGTCAACATGTGCAAGAAAAAAAATCACAGTTTGAGTTCATCAATCGAAAGGAAATAAATTAAAATGGATAATTGTGCAAAAACAAAATACCTTGATAAAAATGAATAATGTATAAGTTAACCCAGCAATGACAATTAGCATAATAAAAAAACAAACAAACAACAACTCTATTGGAATGCTAAATAAGTTACAGGCATAACCTGATGATAAAGCACTGGAATTGAAAGAGCTTGAAGAACCGAAAGATCACCATCACACACATCGAGTATTTCAACATGAATCAATAAGAAGTGCGGATGGAATTCTGTTACTCAAGTCACCATGTTCAAAAATGAGGAAAAAAAGAGGATCTATTGCCTTCTTATTCACTTCTTTGTCGTCTTGCAAGCGGACCTTGTTTTGTTTCTCAGCCCTTTCTTGCTTTTTTTCCCTTCTCCCGTTTCCCTCCTTCCCGCTTTACTTCCAATTCATGTAATCGCTTGTTTTCCCCGTCACTCTCTTCCCTCCCCCTCCAGCTTTTCGTTACACAGGTGTTGTTCTCCTGTTGAGAGTGTTAGTGTTTGAACTGTCTCCTTTACCAAGTCGATCCAAGGTACCCAGCCCTCGATCCCTCTCCATGGTGGCGGAGGAGCCGGCGGACAGTGGCGGCTGCTGGGGGCCGGAGGAAGATGAGGTATTGAGGGTGGCGTTGGTCGATGCAGCCAGGTTCGACTTGGACAGAGAAGGCAGCGTTCCCGTCATGAGCGCTCCTCCGCCGCCCTCCTTTGTCGGAAAGTAATTGTGCAGCTGGTAGAGCGTGGCACGGTCGACTGTACCATACATGGGCGGCTTACCTTCCCTGCCTAGCGTGTACATGGATATATCCCCCATCCCTCCTCCGGAATGCTTATGCGGATTGGGAAGCGTGGCTACTGAAAAGGGTGGCGGGCCGGCGGCCAGGGGCGGGCCGAAGTTCTTGGGAGCGATGGTGGAGGTGGGGGACTGCTCGCGGGAGTGGGTCGGCTCCGCTGTGGAGCGTGAGCTGGAGCGGGAGGAGCGCCGGCGGAAGCGATATCCCGGTAGGCGTAACACAGCTGAGGTCGTGCTGCGGAAGAGGTCAGTGCGCGAACGGCAGCGCAGTTCTTTGTTGCGCTCGATGTAAATGTTGACGGCCAGCACACCTACCACTTCTGCCAGAATGAACGACAGGCCGCCGAAGTAGAAGGACCACCCGTAGGAGTAGTGCCACTTCTTGTCCTCATCCTTTTTGGGAGAGATGTCACTGAGCGCCGCCGAGATGTATACAATGACACCTATGATGTTGCTCAGGCCTGGATCAATTCAAAACAAAATGTTTGTTTGTTTGTTTGTTTAGGTCAACAGTTTTATTTTTAATACAAAGCAAGGATTCAAACACTCTGGGGTGAATTCACTAAGAATGAATGAAGCAACCGCTGATGCCATAGTTCTAAATTCTGTTTAATAAATCTAACTCTAACCATACCAGCCAAATATTAATTACACCAGACTAACAGCACTGATTGAATAATGCGCTATAATAAACCTAGTTTGCATAGAAATGATGTGCGATTGTTCTGAAAAGAATCATTTTAGTTTTATTTTAAAAATTTTGTAATTTTGTTGTGCTATTGCCATTTTTTGGCTTTAGATTTATTTAGCTTTAATTTGTTTTTATTTCATTTAGTTTGAGTAATTTTAGCACTTTTTCATTTCAACCATGGCAACATTTTCATCATCAAAGTTTTTCATCTGTCATTTTATTCTTTATTTTATTTCAGCTTCATTTCAATTAATGAAAATGGTTTTTAATAGCTTTAGTTTTTGTTAACAATAACAATACTAATATGCTGGATTTTAGATAGGTACTGAAATACGGCACACAAAAGCACCAAAAAAAAAAAGTTTAGTGAATTCACCCCATCACAAATGACTGTAAATTAGGATCCTACATGTGTCATAATGAGAAATGTTACCTGCCACTACAAACAAAATGCCTGCTCCCAAAATGATGTGTCTTTTGGTCTTGTGGAACCGACTAGAAGCCACACACACTCCACCTAGCAGCAATAATATGGCACTGAGGATAGGAAATATACTGGAGGCCCTGACTATACCTGAGAAGAAAAAATAAAACAGAGACAAAAATTTTCAAAAACTTATGTTCAAATGTATTGCTTTTACCCATATCCCAATATTTATAATGCAAAAATCAGTTATAGTCCATAAAACATGCACAAATCAACACTCCTGACTCACGTAAAAGGTACTCTGCAGCATCCTGGTCATAATCAGCATCATCTGGGAAATGATTAATCTGGGAACACACTCCTCTCTTTAATCCTAAAGAGAATCAGAGAGAGAGAATCTTTCAAAAGTGTCACCATATTTTCTGGTTTCTGAAAAACTAAATAAAGTAGCACTTAGCATCGGTGATGCAACACTTGTTTGGGCGACTTGTTTGAGTTCAGCCTGCAACATTTCAATCTCCCCTAATCATTTCCTGTCTTATTTGTCAATTTCCCTATAAATAAAACTGACAAAGGGCTAAAAGAAAAAAATGGTGTTTGAATGGGGCTCAGTCAAACAGTGGCTGAGGTGTTTTGTTGAAAATGGATTCAGAGTAGATGTCAATGGCTGGGAGTCACCCCAGGTCAAAGGCGTCATGCAGTGCTCTCCCATGTGATATTAACCATTCACTTTAGACAACATGTTGGTGCACTGCATATACCCAGAGTCTCCCAGTGCTTGCTGTTTTTATTTTATGCCGCAGGATGGCGAACAAGCCTTTTTCATTTTTGTGTGCCAAGAATCTTGAGGAATTCTGTATGAAACCATTTTTTTATGAAAAAAATTGTTTTATTTATTTTTGCTTTTGCAGAAATGTTCTAGTATCTAAGGATGACTAAGAAGGCATTAACATTAATATGAATCTGTTTTTCCTCCACTACACTCAAAAAACAAAACAAACAAAAAAAACAGTCAGAAAAACAGCCCGAAAAGTTAAATAATAAAACATTTTTTTTTTAATTACTGGAATAATTTTGTATGCATGTGTATAACAGTGCGACCAATGTAGTTTGATTCATGAACAAATTACTCTTTTGAACCAGTTCTTTTAAAGGTGCCATAGAATGCATTGATACAATATTTTAAATTGTTGTCTGATATCTACATAAAAGGTATGTG